CTGGAGGGCGGGCCCCGCCGCGCGCGACGCGTACTGCGAGAGCGAGTTCGGTGAGTGCCCGCCGCGGCGAGCCCGGCCGAGCTCCGCAGAGCGGGGCGGCGGGGCGCAGGGGCGTCCGGAGCTCGGTCATTTGCTAACGTCTCGGGAGCGTGGGCGAGGAGGTCGCGTGATGCCTGTCCCCACACTTGTGTCTCGAAAGCAGCCGTGAACGGAATCGTGCACGACGTGGACGTGCTCGGCGCCGGGGTCCGGCTGCTGACGCTGCTGGTGGACCGCGCGGGGCTGTACCGGCCCGGCCGCCTCTACGTCGCTCCGGACGGCTTCTTCTTCCGAGCGCACGTGCTGACGCTGGACTCCTCGGGCTGCGACCGGCCGTGCCCGGAGCTGACACCCGGTAAGGCAGCTGACCCCGGCGCCCCTCGGCGGGGCCTGTGTCGCCGCCTGAGCCGGCTGCGGGTGCCGCGGCCCTGCGGGGCGTTGGGGGACCCGGCCCGAGACGTGGCCGCGGCGGCGAGGCCTGCTGCGGGAGGACGTCCCCGGCCCTCCGGCTGTTCACGGGGTGGCCTGGCGCCCGCTGCCTGCAGTTAGGCGCTTGCACACGCGCGGCGTGCAGCGTGCAGCGAGTGTAAAGCCTCCCGCGACTGTCACTCATTTCTGGTTCCTCTGTTCAGGCAGCAGGTACGTTGTGATGGGCCGCATCTACCACAGGAGACGCCAGCTCCCCGCGGCTCTGCTGCAGGTCCTGCGAGGGCGCCTGCGGCCGGGGGACGGGCTGGTCCGCAGCGGCAGCGGCTACGTGAGGAGGTTTAACAGGACGCGCGAGCGGCAGGTGCGCGGCGCGCTTCACACCCCGTGCGCGTGAGCCGGCCGGCCGCTGCTCCCAAGGCTTCCTCCGGGAAGGCCTTATGGTCCCCGCAGCTGCGTGGTGGGGAGCAGCTCCCGGAGCCGCAGCCCGCCTCACTTATCCCCGAAATGCGTTTTATTTTCTTGCGGAACCGGGGATTGAAGTCAGGGCCTCGCGCGTGCCAGGCAAGTGCGTGCGGCTTGTACTGAGCCATCCCGCGCGGAGTGCTGGCGACGCAGCCCCTTCCGAGCTTGGACGCGCAGCGCCCCACCTGTAGCGCCAGCCCAGGTACCCGATCGTCCGGCCAGCAGCAGTGCTGCACGTGAAAATCCTACATTATTTTATTTGGACAGATTTCTTCAGTAGAAAGAGTTCACAAAAACCATGTTTTTGAATTTACAGCATCCTGAATAGTTTGTATCAGGATCAAGCCAAAATTTTATACTTAAACCACATTGTAAATTCCATACGTGAGCATCCTGGTCAAAGACATTTATGTATGAAATGTCACTTAGGATGTATTTTCATGCCTTCCTGCTTCTAATAACTAGTGTTTTGTGTCAATCTGGATGCATTTTTCAATATTAAATGTATCTGATGTCATTTTTCTATTAAGACCAAATATGTCTGTAAAGCAGTAAATCTTGCTTTGAAATCAGATCTTGGGGGCTCCTGTTATTTTCTTAGCTGCACTAAGCCCAAGGTTTCAAAAACAGCTTTTCTAAAATGTACTTCCAAAATCCTAGTACCAGTGTTCGCCAGCGACAGCTCACAAGTGACTTTCAGATGTTTCCAGTTGGTTTTAAAAGGGTTAGCCCCCAGTTCAGTTTAATAATTCTTTCATACCTGAGTTCGCAAGCATTACAATTCTTGCAGGTCAGGCTGTACTTAGGTTAAGTTGACGCACCTAGAACAGATACTGCCAAAAGACAGCAGCCCATTTGGCTTCGCGGTGACGTGTTCCTTGAGCTCACCTGTGTCTTTAGATGCAGACAGATCACAGAAGCACTAAGCATCAAAGGCCATCCAGGGATGACACCAGAACTGACAGGGAAGCGAATGGAAACAGCCTAAGACAAAATGTGCTAACATCTCCTCTTTTGCCTCAAACATGGCATGTAGAGGTAAAGTTGAATTTCTCAATATTCTGTGATAAACCATTATTGAGGGACTGAGATAATTTTCCAAAATTGAATTTTTCCTAAATTTATTAAAAATGCTACAAGGGATGCTGGGGCAGGAGGATTGCAGGTTCTAGGCCAATCCGGGCAATTTACCAAGATGCACCTGAAAAAGGGGTGGGGCTATAGCTCAGGGGTAGAGGGCCTGCTAAGCTTGAGGGCCTGGCTTTGAACCCGGAAATGTCAGCTAAATTATTTTTGGGGATCAAGAGTATGCATCTAACCAGTGTTTAGAAGTTTTTTTTTTTTTTCCCCTTTTTACCTTGAAGCAGGGTCTTGTGAAGTCACCTAGGCTGTGCTCAAACATGTGAGCCTTCTGCCTCAGCCTCCCAGATTGCTGGGGTGACAGGTGCACACTACCGTGTGCAGCTAGGACAGAATTTTAAGACAAAATTAAGCCAGACACAGAGGCGCACGCCTATGATCCCAGCATCCTGAGGGTGAGGCAAGAGTGTTTGTGAGGTCTGTGGCAAGCCTGGAAAACCTAGCAACACCCTCCTCAAAATAAACTAAAAAAGGGCTGGGGATGGAGCTCAGTGGAGCCCCTGGGTTCAGCCCCAGAGCCACCAAAAACAAACAAGATGCTCTGGTCAGATGCTAAAGCCTAAGGAACTATAATGGGTCTAGCTTAAGAGGAATAAAGAAAGTCACTTTTACTTACGTAAGCCTGAGGGTTAATGGTTTGTTTTTTTGAATTTAGGCCTTTGGGCTTGCCAGGGAAGCGCTTATTCAACTTTATTCAACTGAGCTATCTCCCCAGCCCCCTGAGGGTTAATGTTTGACTTAGAATGGTTAGACAACAGTTCTATTTTTTTCAGTACCAGGGATCAGACTCAGAGGCTTGCACTTGCCCGGCAGGCGCTTATGACGCTGAGCTACATCCCTAGCCCCAGTAGTACAGTAGTACTATTTGTGAAAAATTCTGGAGACACCAGAAACATGCCCACATCTCGATGTCTGTGTGATAGTTGGAGGCCATATGCTGAATACACACCCTGAACCAACTGCTGGGCAAAAAAGGCAGGCCGTTGGACACATCCAGGTCAGCAAGGCAAGAATGGTGCCGGTGACGCTCGAGCCATCGAGGTGGACGAGCACAGGGTTGGAGCAGCACACAGGAGACAAGGGGGAATAGAGCAGAAATTTCAGGTTGGCGAAAGGAAGGAATGGATGAGAAACCTCATTTTCAGCATTCAGTCTGGACCTTAGATTGAACTTTAATTCTAAGGAACATTTTATTTTATTGCCTTTGTGAGGCAGGGTCTCACTATGCAGTTCAGGCTGATCTTGAGCTCACTTTGTAGCCCGGAGCCAGGCAGGCCTTGAACTCCTGGCTCAGCGCTTACTCTGCTGAGCCATCTCCCCGGCCCCCAGTCTGGAATATTTCAATGAGCAGATTCATTATAGTTTCTAATTTTTCTGTCTTGCTGCTAACATTTTTCTTAGAATATGGATGTGTGCTTCAAAGGTGAAGGCCTTCTAAATCCTTTTCTCCGTGCACACATTAACAGTTTGTCAATAACATACTTGACTGCCTTGAGAAGGCGCTCACCAGCATCACCCATGCATTAAGGCTGTTCCTGACTCACTGGTAGCATCTGGCACTGTTCGTGTTTCTCCAGGGTCACCTCTGACGTTGACCAAGCACACGTATCTGAAAACACTGATTTGTCCCCCAACTTCAGAATATACTTGAACATGTTAAAACAGGACTTTATCATTAAAAAAAAAAAAAAAAAATTAGGTTTTTTTTTTTTTTTTTTTTTTTGCGGAACCGGGGATTGAATTCAGGCCCTTGTGCTTGCCAGGGAAGCGCTTATTCCACTAAGCCATCTCCCCGGCCCCCAAAATTGTTTTGAGTATAGGGTCTTGCTATACAGTTTGGACTCAGAGATCCTCCTGTCTCAGCCTCCTCAACGCTGAGATTCCAAGTGTGCGCCTCAAGGGCTGGAATGGCATATACCCGGGATCGAACTTGGGACCTTGTGCTTGCCAGGCAGGTGCTTATGCTAAGCTATCTACCCAGCCCAATAATTCATCATTGTAAAAACATAGCTTACTTCTTTAGTTCAATTTGGTCCAAACTGAATCAGTCTTCTGAGAAATGTTTTTTGGTATCTCATTCTAAGTAACTAGAGGTCCTTCAGACTATTTCAAATTATTAAAGGCACTTCTCTGCTGGCCCTTTCTCCCCTAAGTGCCTAAAGGCCACTGTTTGCCCAACGTATGACCACTCTCATCGCAGGGGCCGGGGCCTTCTGGGGAGGCGCCTTGGAGTCCCAGAGTCTGTAGGTATGCAGGGAGTAGAAGGGCCCACGCTGGCTCTGCAGTGTCAGAAACGCAACAAAGAGGCCAGGAGTTTGCCTAATAGAACATGAGCAGAAGTAGGGAAAGAACTTTTATTTGGAGATTCTAGAAGTAAGTTACAAACAAGAGCACATCTCCAGGTCTAACACTCCAGGCCACTCATAGTATAAAAAGGTCATGTTCACGCTAGAAATATTTCCAAAGTTACATAATTTTAAAAAACCTACTACAGTAATCCTGTAGAAATTGGCTAGGAAAAAAACCTTATAAATATTATGAAAATAGTTTATAACTCCAAGGGCTGTGAATTGACTTGATGAATAACAAACACTGAAAATACTTTTAGCCTAAGAAATCTACTTGTGCAGGTTAAGTGTATTTACAGGTCCAAGGA